TTATTTTATTATAGTGTGTGACCAAATTCACAACGAAACTAGCTCAAAAGGACCACAAAGCCAAAAAAGTCAAGGTTTGGACTAAACCTCAGAGAAATACATACCACCGTGACCATTTTTGAAATGTTGTCTTTTATCCAACATAATTAACAAAGATGATTGTTACTTTTAGACAAAATTGCAAGTTTGGTAGCTATGTTATGTCAAAAATTGGATATTGGGTCCAAAAAGTTTTGGAGTTGCACCAGTGGTTCAAAAAGATTCATTTATTGTGAATTTGGTCCAAAGTTATTTGAAACATTAAAAATGAAAATTTTTCCTCTTTAATTTATATTTTTTTTATTTTATTTACAAAAATTAAAAAAAGAAAATACCACTCTCTTTCTCTCCCTCTCTCTCTCTCTGTCTCTCTCTTTCTCTCTCTCTCTCTCTCTCTCTCTCTCTCTCTCTCTCTCTCTCTCTCTCTCTCTCTCTCTCTCTCTCTCTCTCCCCCCCCCCCCCACTCTCTGAATTTCTTGGAAACAAAAAAACTTTGGACCTGATCGGTTTTGATGAATTCTGATCGATAATGGAAAAACAAAATTGAGACTCCATGTGTAACCATATGCATCACGGATTAGTAATAGGCTTATGGAAGCCTTAACAACAAATTAGAACTGAAGCTCATTTATGAGTTTCGATCAAGAAGTCACGGTTCAAATTTAACACTAAATAATGAACAGTAACACATACACACATGCACTTTCAAATTGACTTCCTATTAAAAGAAAGAAATCCCTCCACTCGTCGGAAACCCCTACACAAATTTTTTTTGGTGACATTCAGTGTCCTCCAACTCCGCCACCATCACATTCGTTCATCCAACCGGAGATGGTGGTGGATTTGCATTTGATTCAACTTAGCAATGGAAAATCCACCGACAACCTGTGCTTCTTCATTTACCTTATGCTTCCTCCGCTACAACCTCAAACATAAATATGAGATGTTCATGGTGGCTAGGGTTTCTTAGTAATTGTTCTTATCTGATGGCGGCGTTATGGTTTGGACAGTAACGCAACTAGCGTTTCTGGTGGTGGTGATGAAGAGATTTTTCGTTAGGGGTGATGCATCGTGTGCGCTAGGGCTTGCTTTAACAGGAGGCGACACTAGGACTTGCTTTAACAGGCGACTTCATCTCCATTATGTTCGACTCGAAGGCGACTCGTCTGAGGTGGATATCGGAGACGTGATAACTGGGATTGTGTGGTGGTTCAGAACAGATGAATGGTGGTCAGTTATCGTATCTCAAAGAAACCAGGGCACTCTTTATCCTATTATCGGTATAAGAAAAACTCAGCCCACCGTCTTCTTCATTCGCTTGACTTGCCCATTGTTGGTGTTACAACAACCCACCACCATTTAACTTGCAAAGAATGGGGTTGGTTTTTTTGGTTTTTTTTTCTGTGTTTAATATTTTTCGTTTCTGGGCTTTATGAAAGGTTCTTGAGAACCATGAAGAACAAACCAAGAAGGGAGGAGAACAATTGGAGAGAGAGAAAGAAAGAGAGAGAGAGAGAGAGAGAGAGAGAGAGAGAGAGAGGGTAGGGATATGAACTTTTATTTTATTTTGACAAAACTTCAAAAATGGTCCCTATGGTTTCCAAAAATATCAAGTTTAGTCCCTAAGTTCAAAAAACCTCACAGATGGTCCCTGTGGTCTCAAAACTTTTAACAAATGGTCCTTCCGGCTCACTCCGTTAGCATTTCATCGTTAACTCATTTTCTAATAAAATATTACAATGGTAATTTCGTCATTTCAGTTGTAACCTTTTCTCTTTAAAAGAAATTGCATGTTCAATTTTTGGTTTCCCCTTTAGCTTTATCAATCCTCATCTCTCATCTCCTCCTTTCCACTGTTGCTCGACCAACCGTTTCACCCTTCACGACATCGAATCCCTTCTGATTCAAAGATGGTGACTTGCAGGTGTGGGAATGAAGCAACGAAGATCACTTCATGGACGAATCGTAACCCTGGAAGACAATTTTGGAACTGTAGAAGATGTGGTTTCATTCGATGGTCTGATCCTCCTATGTGTGCTAGGTCATTGGTGGTGATTCCAAGTTTGATAAGATCAAAGAATCGATTGGAAGAGAGGGTCGCCATTGTAACTGCACAATTGTGGAACTACCAACTGATTTTTTTTTGTTCATGGGTGTTTTTTTGGTATTATTTTAATCTCTAAGTATCCTGTGAAGGTTTGGATGGTAATGGAGTTTTGGTTTTTGGTTTGTAACCATTGTAGGGTTTTTTTTTAATCGGATAGGGTTTTTTTGCTTTCAGTTTATGTAGGTAGTTTTGGAATTGGTATTGTTGTATTTGGTTTATGCATCGGATTAATGTGTAATGCAGTGGTAATGGTAATGGTAATGGAATATTGTTTGTTATAGTTCATTGTTCAACTTCTTGAATGTTTTTGAAATGCAATTGTTAAGTGTATTGTAAATGCATCTTGAAGATGGTTTTCATTTGCAATTGAAATATAGAATGTTATTAATTGATCCGTGAAGGGTAGTACACTAAACATATTAATTCATTACGAAAAGTGCATACACACCATTACATTCAAAGTTATAAAGTTCTTAACACAACCATGATGCAAAGTTTTCAAAAGACCTACAACACAAGCATTACATGCAAAGTTTTCAAGTTCTTAACACATCTTCAAACAAGTACACATGACTTAAGTTTCTAAATACTTACAATACCGGCATCCTAATAACCACTAAAAATAATTTTCAGCCCCCTCCAACTTCACCACTGCCTCCCTTCCCTTTACATGTTCTGGAATTGTGCCCTTTGTTATGACACTTTGAACAAGTGACTACCAAATATTTCCTGCTCAATCTACCAGCTTGGCTGTTTGGCTCATCAACACCCCTCCTTCTCTTCTTCTTAGGCCTACCAACCTACACATATTGATATACTATAGTTAAAATTGAATTCATTCCATGTTCACATGTATACTATATATTTGGTGTACTTTAAATACAAACATGTGTCTTATGTTTTGGTGGAAGTAAAGTGAATGGGCAGTCACTTTTAGGCCACATTGTACGTCCATTCAATGGATCAATTTTGTTGAAATACATGGCTTTCCATGTTGATAACCTATAGCAAGGATGGACCCATTCATCAACATGTGGGGCATTTTCACCATTTTCAATTTTGTCCCATATAGCACAAACAACATGTCTACATGGGAAACCTGTAATCTCCCAAAACCTACAACTGCAACTTTGATCATTCAAGTTTACCACATATTGGTCTTACCATGTGCTTGCCACTTGGAACTTTCCTGCCCCATTGTATTTAGCCACATACTTTGATGCATCAGTCTTAATCTTTTCAAACAGTGTAGTTGTAGTAGGGGTTAGAAGTCCTTCACACTTATCTATTTCCTTTTTCACCACACATAACCTCTTCATGAGATACTCTCTAATATACTCTAAGCAAGTGATAATAGGTTTATCCCTACCTTCATCAAGCTTAGAATTGAATACCTCACAAAGGTTATTCAACAAACAATCGGTATGTGCCCTTCTTGAATAATAGATATTAAGATAAGACAATTACACATATAGTAAAGACACAATAGGGAAGATTATCATTTCTCAATAAAATTCTAGAAACTTACCACTAAAGTGAGATTTAGCCCAAGTGTTTGCTGGGATCTTAGACACCCAAGCATGAGCCTCTGCATTGATCTTCTTCAACTCATCCATTGCTCTGTTAAAATGATTGACTGTTGTTGCTCTACCACACTCCCAAATCTGGTCAGTTAAGTCTTTTCCTTTCCACGATTTCTTCATGTTTTCCTGGATATGCCTCAAACAGAACCTGTGTTCTGCACTAGGGAATACCTTCTCCATTGCTGGTATTATTCCCTAAACAAAAGTTAATGTATGCAACATCAGTTAACCAAATGTATTTAGAAAAGGTAATAAAAAAATTTAGGTGATACACACCTTTTGTCTATCTGAAATGAAGGTAAAGTTTGAATTTGGTCCCAGATCCAGATTTTCTCCTAACAGTTCCAAAAACCAGGTCCAACTACTTGTTGATTCTGTCTCTACCACTACATATGCTACATGGTATATGCCACTGTTTGAGTCCAACCCTACAACAGTTAACACTTGCCCAGGGTAAGGGCCCTTCATGAAAGTACCATCCACACCTAGAAAATCTCTTAAACCAGATTTGAATCCTAACTTTAATGCACCTAAACAGACATATAATCTTCTAAAAGTTCTTGTGGTAATAGACATGGAGGTTTCTGGATACACATCAATCCGAACTGTTGTACCAAGATTAGTGTTGAGTAGCTCCAACACATGATCCCTCAAAAATCCATACTGTACTTAGTAGTCCCCACTAATGATATGCTCAACCATTGACTTTGCCCTAGCAACCTTTTGCAATGACATTCCTACCTCCAGTTTCTTGCACAACTCTTCTTGTAAAGCTTTCACTGGAATTTTAGGGTTACTCTGTATTTGTTGAACAATTAAGTTTGCTATGTATCTAGAAGTGCAAGCTTTAACCGCCCTTGTTTGCAAACATTTATACTCATCCTGTATTGTTTTCACCAACAATCCTGATTTTCATTAGCCCTCGATATTTAGACTGCCCATGGATATGTACCTTTATTGGCAATTACATCTATACCCTTACACTTTGCCATGCTTCTAGTTGAGGGCCCACCACCATCAACTCCTGTAGAAGGCTTACTTACAACACCTTTACATTTCACCCTAATCCGGATTTTTTCATTTTTGGCTAGGTATAAAGACCTCCTTGTTGCTACAACATGTGAGTTCATGTAGTTTTTAACATCAAGCTTGGTTTTGAAGACCTGGCCAATCTGAAATGGTTTAACATGAACCTTTCCATGTGAGCATGTACTTGACTTACTCAACTCTTATAGCAGTCTCTTCCTATCATCTTCATGAAATCCTGCAAATTAATAATCATCAGTGGCAATAACTTCCAACTCCTCATCAACCATGTCAATCCCTTCATCTTTTGAATGATTGTTCAAGATTCCATGTTCATCTACATCAACATCATTATGGAATTCAATCATGTCTACATCTACATCAAATTGTATGTTAGACTCATCCACATTGTATTCACTGTCATCAGAATCATCTCCACTATCCTCATAACCATGGCCACTCTCAGAGTAGAAAGCTTCTCCACTATCATCACTCACCATACCCTCTAGATAATCCACTTCTGTTTGTTTTTCAAATGAAGTCTCAACATTAAACTCAGCATCATAATCAGCATAAAGTGAGTAATCCTCTATAAATGGTTCATAATCATCAACTGTTGTAGTATTAGCTCCATCATCAGCTTGGCAGCTTGGTTCCTGTACATGGTAAGTTCCCAATGGTTCTTCAGTTTCAACTGCACTAGTGATCACTTCTTCTTGAGTTTCAATTTCATGATTCACCAATTCCTTTTGAATGACATGACTTTGTTTGCCTTGTGACCTTATAAATGGTACAATACTCTTTGAGTAAACATGGCCTTCATCAACGTCTAACACTTGTGACTACTCATAATCAGGGTTCATAGACTTGTTTAGATCAAGCTTTCTACTACATGATCCTGCTTCTCTCCTACAAGGTTTCTTTCTATTCATTTCAGGTGACACACTATCAGGCTCCAACTCTTCAATAACAACTTTAGAAGGAGATTTGTAATAAGTAGCTACCCTTGTCTGACCAATTTCAATATACACCCTAATAAGTCTATGTTTAGGGACATATGATACCATTTTAAGTACATCTTGATCATTACCTAAAGGAATTAATCCATAGTCCAAAGGGTATTCAGGTATAAAGAAATGGTAGTAAAGGGTTTGCTCAATTTTGTGCACTAGTTCTCGAACCATCTCGTCAAGCTCATGAACTGAAAATAAATCAGTCTCAACATCATCTACATATGCTACAACACCATCAACGTATTTCCTTCCAGGTGCTTTGGTGAAGACACCACTGTAGTGTATCTTCAACGTGAAATAATTGTCATAACCTTCTGTAAACACACAAAAAAAAAGAGTAAAATCAATGATTTCCTTACGTCAACACAATAGACCAAGAAAACACAAGTTTTGTTGTAGTATTGTACCGTATCTTTTTCCTAAGTCCTTCACGGTTACAATTTTTTTTCGAAAACACCATATTGATAGCACCATTGCAATTTCTGCAGCTTAAAACCCTAAATCCCAATTTCTGTTCTTGCTTCTACGAAGGGAATGAACCCGAGGACTAAACCTGTAACTGGTTATCTTCTTGGGAGAGGGACGGGTAGTGATGTGCAAGCAACAGGTAATCATTTCATATTAAAGAGAAAAGGTTACAACTGAAATGATGAAATTAACCCTGCAATACTTTATTAAAAAAATGAGTTAACGGTGAAATACTAATGGAGTGAGCCGGAAGGACCATTTGTTAAAAGTTTTGAAACCACAGGGACCATCTGTGAGGTTTTTTGAACTTAAGGACTAAACTTTATATTTTTGGAAACCACATAGACCATTTTTGAAGTTTTGTCTTTTATTTTTTATTAAAAAAATTAAATAAAATGAATAAAAATAATAATAAAAGCAATAGAAAGGCCAAACAATCATTATTACTCATTTAAATTCCTAATAAAGTTCTGCCCCCGAAAGACATTTAAGAAAAACTAAAAAAATAGAATATAAAACGGCTTTTTCAGTGACGGAACTTGAACATTCGAGTTGGGGGGGCCAAAAATAAAATACGTAGAAAAAGTAGAGAATAGGAGGGCCATAGTCAATTTTTTTAGTTTAAGGTCTAATATGTAAAAGTAAAGGGACTAATTCTTAAATAAATAAATAAATAAAAATAAAAAGCCGCGGGGGGGGGGCAACCCCTTGTCCTAATGAAGATGGCTTTTTGACCTATTTTTCAAAAAAGACATAAAATTGCTTTTAATTTTAGAAAATATTTTGCAAGTTCTAACTCTAATGTGAATGGGGAGGTATGGTTGGTGGGTATCCAGTGTGGACGTGTGGTGTTTTAGCTTAAGAATTAATGTTATCATGTTCTTAATAGGAAAGCATGCCTCATTGCCCGTACGTGGAGTATTCTAAGCAGTTGTTGCGGTTGAAATTTCAATAGCGGTCACATGCCGCTATTTGAAATCGTGGTTATCGCGGTGGTATAACAGTGATATAGCGGTTTATTAATATTATGTATAATTTATATTATATATTTATACAAAATTTATATATCAGATTATTAATACTGTATAGAATTAATATCGTAAAAAATCATATAAAAACACAACATAATCTATATATAATATTCTAATATAGTAATATGGAAACTGAAAAAATATGTAGATGTCATCACAACTCAAGTCATCCGTAGTTTCAAAGTACTGAAACAGATGAAAAAAGGAAGTTGTCATGTAGTTTGTAATTAACTATATTTATTATTTGGACTTGTTAAAATAAAAAATGTAGTGGATTAGTTAAAAAAATAAGGATTTAATATTGAAATAACACACAATTGTTTTTTTTCTTTGTCAAAGTAGCTTAATATGTACGAAATTGTAAAAGCGGGTGTAGCGCCGCTATAGCGCTGATGAGGTTCGCGGTAAATAGCGGTCAATAGCGCCGCTAATAGCGTCACCGCTATTCGTAAACGCTATTTCAAAATAGCAGTTCTGTAACACCGCAAAACGCTATAGCACGGCTATAGCGCTATTAATATCACAGGGGTATTTTACTTGAAACATACGAATGAAACCATATGGAGGCTTATGGAGGCTCTAAATTCTAATACTGAATTTCAATATTTTGTATATGAACAAATTAAAGATACCAAATTTTGTCTTTTTTACTTTGTATGTTTATCAATGTTCCATCAAGATATCTTGATTAAATATGCAAATCTGGGGTAGCTTTTAAAAATGTGCCGTTTGCCGTATCTGTTTCTTCCAAGACAAGGTTTTAATGTCCCGTCAAGAAATATTTTTAATAAAATGTGAAAATGTTGGGTTGCAATAAAAAAATCATTTCGTTTGCACAATTAGAATTTATTAAAAACAAATATCAGTTCGTAATAAAATTACAAAAACTGCAAATAAATAAAAAAAACTCAGTTATGTTTAAATAGAATGTTTTTTTTTTTACTGCTTTTAAATAATTCTCTCTATATCTACTACGAAATTTGAACCTTCAACCTTAAAAAATGATGACAACACCTACTACCATTGGATTTGACCATTATAAAATTTATTATTTCGGTTTGGCCTTTATATATATATATATATATAAATATATATATATATATATATATATATATATATATATATATATATATATATATATATATATATATATATATATTAAACCTCAAGTTTTTTTCTTTCTAAAAAAGCTCTTACATTTTTGTTATTTTGGAAGATTTCTACCATTCCCATGACAGATGCTCCTAGCTATTGGGGTATAAAATCTTGTGTAACATAGAGCACTTGGAACTTAATTAGCATTTGGGATTCATGGAACATGTGATAAATGAACATATCATTTAAGAAGGGAATGGATCTCCAGACAAATGAACATATCTCTTGACAAAGGAACGAATCTTCTAAAAGGGGGTATGGAGCACCTGGTGCATGGATGCACCATCTAGGATCAAGATGTGTCATCCTATGCCTGGATGCGCCACTTAGAAGTCAAGATGTACCACTATTGTTCTAGATGCGCTATTCTGGATGAAGGTGTGCCATCCATGATATGGATGTGCCGCTTTGGGAAACAAGTGCACCACCAAGTAACATGATATGGCACCAAGTGACAGAATATGCCACAAAGTGATAGGATATGCCACCAAGTTACAGGATATGCCCACCAAGTGATAGGATATGCCACCAAGTTACAGGATATGCCCACCAAGTGACAGGATATGATACCTAATGACAAGATATGTCATTCAATAGGTGGATGTGCCATTCCAGAGAAGGTTACACCATTATGGAGCATGATGTGTGATACGTATTTTAAATACTAGTTTTAAGTACCAACTAAGCTAGACCTAACTATACGAAACTAGGTACTAGTGTACCTAATCAATTATAGCAAAGTAGGTACTAGTGTACCTAATCAATTATAGCAAAGTTCAGGTAACTTAATCAAATTAGCATAGGGCTAGTTTAGGAATCAAAAATTTAATTATTATTTCTTAAATTTATAATACGATAAATTAGATATGTAAAAAACTAAATACCTTCTATCTATTCTCTCTCTGCCTATGATAGAACTAAGAAACCCATGGACTCTCTCTCTCTCTCTCACCTTCCTCCATCACCACCATTGCCTAGATCCCAGGCGGTGTCCCCACCGGCCGAGTAAAAAATCAATGATGAACCGATAAAGAAAGAAACTATCTCATCTTCCTCACTCTGTTAGCTATCTTGATTCTCTGTCGGCTAGATCACCTGAAGATGTCAACTATGTCTTCTCTGTCATCTCTCAACCATCAATTCTCTCCCAAAAGAGTTGAAGTACAAGCTCAAGTAGAACATGAAGCAGAATCAAAAGTAGCAAGAGAAGGAGGGACATCACATGGCTCACCAACGTTAGATCTGTTACCGGATTTTTCTTGAGCTAGGGTAATGTTGCCGACGCTTGTGTCGACAGTGAACAGGTATAATAGGAATCAAAAGATTTGCATATAATATCATGGGGGCTTCATCTTCGAATCGCTCTTGGAATCGATGGAGCTTTGAAGTAAGCATCTCACAAATTCCGATTTTCCTTTTCCTTTAATCTAGGGTTGATTCGATAATTTTGAATGTCAATTTTGTTGCTGTTTAATTCAGCTACTTGCATACAACATGTGCGCCTCCTTTAGCTCACAGAAATTTAAAGGATGCTAATGTTTTACTTGATGAAGATCTAACGCCTCGGATCTCCGACTGCTATATCGCTGTTTTGAAGCCCGTAACAATCAGCAGTGTTAGAGCTTAGGTACATGTTTCTGGCTCCCACAACAATTCTTCTCCCTTTATATTCTTCTGATTATGTTACTTAATGGTGATGATGATTTAATTAGGCTTCAGAAACGGATACTGGTGGCATTTCTTATGAACACACGAAACTTGGAACCGGTAACCAAAAGGGACATTTATGCGTTTGGAGTGCTGCTTTTGGAGATTTTGACTGAAAGGAAGCGTTTCGATGGGTACATTATTCATCTTCATTTTTTTTCGTTGAGATCTGTTGTGATTTTTTTGAAAAAAGAAAAAACGGAGATCTGCTGAGAGACGAGAGTTCGCTATTTTGCTGCCGAATTTAGCTCTAATTTAGGGTTGTTTGGCATCATGATTCTGTTATCTTTGGTGTTATCTACTGGTAATTTAGGCCATTACTTGTTTTGAATGTCAGTGTTACTTCCGTTCATAAACTATAATTTTTTTAATGCAGAATCTATGAATTACATATGATTCACATGTAATTCACATATGAATTGATGGGTTTTATACAAAACAAACAATCATATGTGTGCATGCAACCCTAATTTGAGGATCTATGTTTTCACTATTAAACATACAAGCATTGAACAAAAAAAAACTAGAAACCCTGGGAGGCACATGTTATTTTCGAAATTAACATATAATTAAGGTTAGGATACATACCTTTATTGTTATATTGTAATAACAATCAAATCCTTAAAGATCTTGAACTTTGGTAGCAAGCGTCACAAGTGTCGCGCCTCTAATGGCTTACAAACAAACCTAGCAACCAATGATTACTATGGAGAGAGAAGGGAAGTGGAAAATTCAGCCCTAGCCTCTCTTGGAGATCCCTTAGACAAAATCCAACCCTATAGGGGTTTATATAGGTGATAAGGAAGGTTTAGGATAAGGCAGGTGTATCTTAGATAACCCTAATCCATTAACTTCTTCCCTAAGGCTTCCAAGGCACCCTTAAGGCCCAAGGAAATCCTAAGAAACTCTAGATTTCATTCCATACCTCTGAGGGAGGTTCTAGAATGCTCAACTATTAAACATTGTCACCTTTAGTCCCTACAGTTTCAATTAATTCTTTTAATCCCAAAATTAATTCCAAATAATTTATGATTAAATATTAATTAAACAATATGATTTCTAATTAATATATTATATCCATAATACATTAATAAATTAATTTATTAACCAAGTAATAAATTAATAAATCATTCTTCTCTCTCCAACAATAATCATATTCAATTGTCAGGTTTGAAGGCAACCCAAAAGGACATTTCTACTATTAATTCAAGTACATACCAATTATAGTTATAGTCTTAGACACCTAATCCAACA